TTTTAGTAGGAAAATCAGCTACTGCTCCATCAAGAGGCAGAAGTATTTGCCTTGGTCTTTCTTGCTTCACTTACTATATGAAAGTTTAAATTTTATGAGGAAGACAGACTTTGAGTCATGTAATGAAAGGCAGGCCTGGATATCAGAAGGCCAGTTACAAGTGAGTCTTTAGGTAGCCAGACCCTTGGCAACCCTCTACTAACCATTTTTAAGGTCGAGTCATATCCCCAAATACCTTCAGATCTTGATAATAAGTTTACACCCTTTGAAAAAGTAAGATTAATAGGCATATCAAAAATGGCATGCTCAGATGTTAACTGATTCATTCTTACACACTCTCATAATACCAGGTGCTTCTGCATCTAAATTATACCCCAGTAAAGACATTTGAGAATGCAATCCAGGAAATGAAAATAAAATTCATCTGAGTTAAGTTCCTACATCCCTCATATAAAACAACAACAAAATCTAAAAATCTGCAAAGTTTTCTGAGAAGGGAAAAATATTAAAATTTAATTAATTTAATAAAAATTTAATAATAAAATTAATATTAAATTTAATAAAATATTAAAAAACCATGATTTTGGGATAGGGTAAACTCTGACTTTTCAACATATTCTGGAATTCTAGAATGGGAAAAAAAAACTCTGGAAAAGTGAAAGAGGGATTTTACCAAAGAGAAACAATGTGTAATAAACTGAGAGGATACAAGATCACCAAATATATTACTGAGACGATGAACGAGTCTCTAAATGAATTTAAGTAAACATAGTTAGATTAATAAATTACTCAGAAAAATCAGGAATTTTGATGTCTCCTCCATCTCTAAGTTTTTGTTCTTAATTTCATGGAAGGCACTGATCCCCTAACAGATTTTAGTCCCAGAATAGTTGACTCGGGGGTACGGGAATGCAGAAAGGAATCCATTTCTATTTCACTGCTGCTCATCAACTACTGTAATCCTGAACTGCACAATTGTCCTGAAATCTAAAGTTCCTTCCCATATCTCAAAAAATAATGGAAGGAGACTCCATAGACAATTTCAGATGAAAAAGAAGAAAGATGAATTGGAAATAAAATTTTGTCAGAATTTGGCAGGAAGGAGAGTAGGCCCCAACGTGAGCTGCCTTTGTGCCTACAGAGTTCATGGCCAGCTATCATGGGGATGTGGTCTTTTCACAAAAGGTGCTGGGGAGGCCAAGAAACCTACATGTGTGCTATCAGGTTTTACCTGGATGCCTGGCTACAAGATGCAGTTTTACTTTTCTGCTGAGAAATCCATTGTGTTCTTCTAGCCTCTGGGTCTTTGGTAGGAAGAAACCCAATATTAAACTTTCTCAACTCTATGCACAGAGTAGCTCTTATAATAGTTTTCATTAGCATAATTAAATTTTGCTTTCTCCAAAATCTAACGCATGGCTTTCTAGATGATTGGTATTTTGAGAAAAACAGTGACATAGCCATCACATGTACTATCTCTGTATCACTATCACCTGCTTTCTTTCTTGTCTACCTATCAGCAAAGTCTTAGAAGGTTAGACTAATATATGTACAAGAAACAGTTTATTTTTTCCCCCTAATAAACAATTTGACAGAGTGGGCAGAAATTGCTTATTAAAAGGATGACAAGAGTATAAAAATACCTACTTGCTTATTTACTATTTTAACAGCTGATTTAATATATCAGACCATTTTGAGATATATTACTGATGAATGGTCCTTGAGCTTTCAGGTATTTTTAGTTATGTCAATGTTTGCAGTCTCCTTAAACTATTAAGTGTCACATAAAAATATCTGCAAAGGTTCTTTTTTGGTAGGAATTCTAACTCTAACCAAGCATGGAATTAAAAATGTAATATAAAGCACAGCCTTGTGGAGAAAATAACCCATGCTCACTGGAAGTACATGTTAACCTAGAGGATGAGCTGCAACAGTGGAGACTCAACAAAAACACAGGCTATTTTTAGCACATTTTTATCGTTAGTGGTAAATCAGGGAATGCTGTTAGGAGGTAGTTCAGTATCATTTCCACAAATTAATAGTATCAGATAATGAAAGATGAGGTTATTCAACTCAGCCAACAGAAAAATCAAGAATATCCACTGCCAAGCGCTTTCTAGATTATCCATGTGAAGAATCTGCAGACTCTCCATGGTATTCTCCCTCAGGCACATGGAGTATTTTCTCTAACACAGAGAGCAAAGCTGATTGTCCTCTGCAAGCACAGCACAGTTCTCAGTTATTTACCATTGGCAAGATTTCACTAAAGACCAAGCTACTTTGTTCTGAACCCCTTTGAGAATATTCCTTTTATACCTTCACTTAGAAATGCAATTATTTGCAAGGCAGGGGAAAGGAAAGTAAGAAGTGGAGGATGTGTAGGGACCTCTGGGACCCTGGGGATTGGGAAGGCTTTCTCAAGCCTCTGGAAATGGGGCCTCATTATTTTCCTTAAAAGCACAATGACATTCCAGAACGGTGGTCAAATTCCAAGTCTACCCCTGGCATAATGGTATAACATCGCATGCTAAAGCAAAATATACTCTTCTCCCAAATTATTTGCTATTAAAATGGTTCATGCTACCTGTGTGGAAATGGAGACCAAACTGGATATGCTTCACATTTCCATCACAGTTTTGCCTTCATGAGTCGTGATCCCGAGGATGCCAAATTTAAATGACAACTGAAATGTTTCTTGATTTACACTGAATTGATGATCCTAAGTGGTATTCCATTCATGGGAAAGAAAATGCTACATCAGAATTATCATAAGAACTTCAGCATATGCTTTGATATGCATAGGTTGTAAATTAGTGAGCAAAGACTCTCAGTTTAACAGCACTGGCTTACCACTCCAGGGATGGGGGTGGGGCTGATATTCTTGGACTGTGCATTTGAAATGTCTAATAAAAATGAGATTCCTCCCATAACAAGGTTCACATTAGTGTAAGACTTTAGTACCTACTAGATTACAATATGACATCTGCATAAAAGGAATAAAGTTAATACCTCAGCCAACAAGTCAGGAAATCTTACGTGGCATGAACGTGCAGTTTTTACTGTGCTGCTCAGGCTACAGTGCTATTTTTCAAGTTTTATTTTTCTTTCACAACATGTGCTCTTATTTCCCGTTGATTTAATCACAGGCATTTTCTTTAACACAAGCTATTTTAAGTAAATTTTATTCCTAAATATCTTCAGATTTATTCCATTAGTTAAACTCAGGCAGACATTAATCCAATTTGAATACTACAAATGAATGAAGTTACAGCACTATTCAATTTGCAGTCAGTTCCATTCACAAAAGCCTTTTATGTATAAATATAAAAATAATTTATTTTCAACTGGGTCGCTACATGCAAAAGAATGAAGCTTGACCACTACCTCACACCATACACAAAAATCAACTCAAAATGGATTAAAGAACTAGACATAAGACCTGAAACCATAAAATACATAGAAGGAAATATAGGCGAAACACTACGGGATTTGCACATCAAAGACATCTTTACAGACACATCACCCAAAGCAGTGATAGTGAAGAGAAAGATAAACAGCTGGGACTACATCAAATTAAAGAGCTTCTGCACAGCAAAAGAGACAATAACAAAAACAAAGAGAAACCCCACCAACTGGGAGAACATTTTTGCACCCAACACTAATGATAAAGGACTGATCACAAAAATCTGCAAAGAGCTGATGAGACTCAGCAACAACAAAGAAAATAATCCAGTCAAAAAATGGGCAGAAGAGCTAAAAAGAAACTTCTCTGAAGAGGAAATGCAAATGGCCAACAGACATATGAAAAAATGTTCAACATCACTTGTAATCAGGGAAATGCAAATCAAAACTACCATGAGATACCATCTCACACCAGTGAGAATGGCACATATTAAAAAAACTAGCAACAACAAATGTTGGCGAGGATGTGGAGAAAAAGGAACTCTTGTGCACTGTTGGTGGGAGTGCAAACTGGTCCAACCACTATGGAGAGCTGTGTGGAGATTTCTGGACCTACTAAACATAGAGCTTCCATATGATCCAGCAATTCCACTCCTAGGTATTTACCCAAAGGACACAGAAACATCAATTCCAAAGAGCACCTGCACTCCTATGTTTATAGCAGCACTGTTTACAATAGCTAAGCTTTGGAAACAACCCAAATGCCCAAAAATAGATGACTGGATCAAGAAGATGTGGTACATATATACCATGGAATATTACTCAGCATTCAAAAAAGATAAACACATGCAATTTGCAGCAACATGGATGGCGCTGGAAGGGATCATGCTCAGCGAAATAAGCCAAAAAGAAAAAGAAAAATACCGGATGGTCTCACTCATAGCAGGAATCTAGAAAACTTAAATAAGGGACCAGGAAAATGAATATAAGAAAGTGAAAATCAAAATCAACAAAAAAACTATGAACCAGAGACACTTTTTGGGGGGTGGGGGGCGGGAGGGGAAGGATTGGGGTCAGAATGGGGCGTTTGCAATTGTATGGGGGAATATAAAAATAAAATTTAATAAAAAAAAAAAAAAAAAAAAAAAAAAAAAAATAATTTATTTTCAGATGCTTTCACTTTTACATTCCTAGGGAGATAAGGAAGTTAAATAAAAGGTGTAGGCTGTGATTTGAGGGGGAGAAGAGTAAAAACGACTATAAGGGTCACATAACTGGAATTCTTTGTGGGGATGTGTGAAAGCATAAACTAACTCCAACAAGCTCATTTCCCTCAGAACACACTGATGTGAAATTGTATCTTGTTATTTTCAAGGGCTATTCTGCTTTAACTGAAAGGCAATAAACATTTACCAAGCACCTACTCTGCGGCTTATTATGGAGTCCTGTGAACTTTTCCCTAACAAAAACAAAGATTATCGCATCTCTGTGCATGTCTGTGTATGTCACTGTATGTCTGTCAGCAGTTGGGAGAAGACATCTTTTAGTAGCAGGTTGGTTTTACAAGCATCTCAGCAAGCAGGTACAGAAATTCCAGGTCTGTCAAAAGTATTTCTTCTTCGACAACACTTTGAAGATTCATTTTCTTGAAGGGTATTGCTTTCTTCATTCACTGAAGACTTTGAGATATGAAAATGGAAGACTTTCAAACAGATCTGAAGAAACTGTACTTTGGTCACTAGACTTCATTGTCCTTGGGAACTGAACCGGTGACCTGGTTTGCATTCTTCACGACTGAGGTCATCTTAAAACAGAAATGGCAGGAAAGCTTTCCTATGCTTTGGATAGGAGACAAATTTGCTTTTGTAGAATTTGTGGCTGAGGAAAGCAGACAGTGCCTGGTTGAAGAAGACATACATCACCACTAACCACCAAGTTAAGTTCTGGAATCCAAAAGTCACAGCCATGGAGATGTAGATCATCAGCTCTGCTAAGTAGTTAGGGGAAGAAACATATTCAAACCAGTCTCCAAAAGGGATGCGGTGGTTACAGTGAATGACTACTCCTAAAATGGAATAAGAAGACTTCCTGAACATCTGAAGTTGAGGAAAGAAAGTTTTACCACATCACTCCTCAAACCATTTACGAAAACTCTTCACAAAAGAGAATCTGGATGTTGGAACCACCATCCTGTCAGATTTTTTGTTTTCTATCTACTACATATTAAAAAGCCACAAGCTTAGTTTAGCCTGTCACCTGTTCATAAGGACAAAAGGAAAGTCCCCATTCCCCCAACAATCCTCCAAGCTAGTAATTAGACTCTAGACTGCATGAGTTCAAATCTTGACTCTGCCATTTACTGGCTGTGTAACATTAAACTGCTTAACTTCTCTGCCAAATTTTCTCATCTGTAAAGTGAGGATAAAACTCTCCTCACCTCAAGTGAATACTGTGAACAGAATTGTAAAGCATTCAGAACAGGGGGTGGTGAAAAATAAGGACTCAATAAATGCTGACTCGTACTATTCCATTTTTAATATTTCAAAAAGACTAAAAATGCCATACTTGTAACAAGTTAACTAAAAACTCATTTTTAAAAAGATTTATTTTTTTAAATTTATGCATACAAGAACTGGGGTATAGGCCAGAGGTGCAGGGGATGAGAGGATTTACCAGAGACAGAGTGGGGAGCAGAACAGGTGGATCTACTGAAATACACTGCTGAGGGGAGCACTGGGGAAGATAGGAGAGGTCTACTGCACCGTGTGGGTTAGCTCCCTGGCTGGGGATTGAACTCATGCTGCAGTGGCTGCCCATAGCTTGATAGTGCTGAGACTTTAACCCCTGTGCCACCAGGGAGGCCCCTCAATTTTTTTTAACTTTGCCTGGAGTGATACTAGCTCACCATGGGAAGGAACACTGGTGCTCACATGCTGGTCAGACACAAATGCAGCACAGAACAGAATGACAAAATGTCAGGACTAGATGGGTCCTGAGAGATTTCCAGTTTTATGCCTCATTTGATGAGAGGGAAGCTCTAGACCCAGAACACTATTTTGTCAAAAATGAGTATGTGACAGATTAGTCTCCCACTTAGGGCAGGATGGAAAAGAATGAAGGAACATGGACATCTCCCTTCTGAGGGTTAAAACCCACATGCAATGGCTCTGAAAGGTACCTCACCTGCTTTATTTTTCCTGAGATTGCCGAGAATGACGTGACACTTATACTGATGGACAGAAGACCAGATGAACATCATCATCCCGAGGATATGGAACCATCGTGCCTGCATAAAGAGATTTTTCCCTATCACGTAGACTGTGGAAAGAAGAATTATCTTATTAGCCAACTCTTCTGAATTTCAGAGGTTCAGAGAATTAAAAAAAAAAAATCATACAGCTAACCAGCAGAACATAGTTATCTACTTAGTAGTCATGTTCCTTGTGGCTAGAAAAGCATCCTGATATAATTCTCGAGTACAGAGGGGAGAATACTGTTCCTCTCGAACATGGGGTATGCTGCTCCTCAGCCAGGAGAGCTCAATGGCCCTGGCGGAATTCCATGTCGACATTTTCTCTTGCTCCTTCTTCAAATGCTTCTAGCAGGGAGTTCATGTGGGTCTCCTACTCTCGAGACCCTACACTTCCCTACTCTTGAGATGTACTCTTGTGTGGTAAGACTACTCTGTATTTCTAAGTCTGGCTTTTTCTTTATCTTTTGATCTACTGTTAGTGTCCGGAAAACACTTTCTAAAGAAATCTCTCTCTAAGCGACCATCTGAAGCCATTGCTAGGGAGGCCCTGAATGCGGATGTTGACTGGGCTGGATCCAGCCAATGAAGAAAATCACTGAAGGAAAAGGCTAAGGGGGAGCTTCTTAAAAAAAGGAGAAATGCAAATTGCAAGGTGAAAACCAAAACAGTATCCCTTTCCTTTTAGAGAGAACCTAGTCAGAGAGAGATTTAGTTTTGGGAGAAGAAACACTCAAAGAACCATCTTCCTCTTTCTACCAGGAAGAATTCAGGTCATCAAATGACTGAGGAGCAAACCACTGGCTCCAGAAAAGCAAAAAGCAGTCAGGCTAGTCAAGGTCTTGGCTGAAGAAACATATTTGTCCATTGACAAAGGGGAAGAGCCTGCGGCACTGGAGTCAAGTGGGAGCCCCTAAAAGCTGCTTCAGGTAAGAGAACCAAGGATCATGCTTGTCCATATGGGTACCTGGAAGTAGCCTCAGGGAGGAGCTGATGACTAGTCAGTGTCTACCGAAGTCTCCTTGTCTTCACTTCTCTTAGAAACTCTACATAACAATATATAAACAATCTACTATAGTCTCTTAATATTTATTACGTTTACCTATTTAACTAAAAGTTCCTATCAGTTAAAAATAAACAAAATATGAAACACCAGTTTTAAATCTGAAGGGCTTTATGAGCAAATCACTCTGTAGGATTAAAAGTTGAAGCAGGGCCTCCCTGGTGGCACAGGTGGTTGAGTGCAGCGCTGTGAAGCTGTCCGCAGCCTCTGCAGTGCCGGTTCCATCCCCGCCGGCCTCGGAGCAACCCACACGGCAAGCAGACCTCTCCTGTCTTGCCTGCTGCTCCCCTCAGCAGTGTATTTCATCAGTCTGCCTGCTCTGTCTCTGGTGAATCCTCTCACCCTCCCATGCAGCTGGCCTGTGCCTCGGCTCTTGTATAAATTAAAAAAAAAAAAAAAAAGTTGAAGCAACTGTGAGAGTTAATGTCACTACCAAGTCACCTACTCTAATGCAGGAAATGACCTACGAAGGAAAAAGGCTCGTCATCAGTCAGAACTATAATATAGGAAAGGGGAGGCAGGTAGAAGGCTCATACCGTCTGAGGGTCTAATTTGTGGAGTATTTAATGATTCACATGGTCACTCATTATTTATTATTTACTGTGTGTCTGCTGAGCCTGGCCCTGTTGGAGGCACAAGGGAAATAAGGCAAGATTCCAGGCCTCGTGAACTCACAATCCAGTGGCAAAGGACAGACAGGACAGGAAAACAATTCAGTTAGATAAGATAATTTCAGGTAGAGATGGAGCTCTGAAGAAAAGAAAATAGTGCAGTGTAATGGAGAGTGTTGGGGAAGGTCATCTGAGACCTCCCTGGAGACAAAGAGCTGTGAAGATCTGAGTGGTGTTCAGAGGTGCTCTCTTTTCACTTTCACAAGAACCCTCTGAAATCATTCTTTCTCCCTAAGTCAGAGGAAGGTTCTAGGCCCAGAGAGGTTAACTAAGGCAGAACTCAGACTCAGGTCCACCTAACTCCTAAGCTCAGGGTTCTTCTATCAGGCTCTAGGGCTGGCAAATACCCTAATATGTTTTCCCTCAGTGAACTGCTGAAACCAGTTCTAGCCATATTGTCCAAGTGGTCTCTAATGTCCTTTGGCTGACTTTTCTTAACTACTTATTTAGGAGAGAGACAGGGGTTGGGGTTCTGCCAGCAGAGGAAACTCCAGAAGAAATATGTAATGTTGATGACAACCAACAGTCAGAAAGCTAGTGGGTAGCCAAAGTGCTTTAGAAGTACCTATGGGTGGAAAATCCAGTAGGTTCATCAGGAAGGACAGCTCGCACCATTATACGGGCTGCATGCTACAACTTTTATTCTTATGGAGTGACTTGCTCTTAAAATCCTTTAGATTTAAATCTGGTGTCTCATATTTTGTTTATTTTTAACTGATACAAATAGGAACTTTCTGTTGAACGGGTAAACATAATAAATATTACTAGGCTGTAGTAGATTGTTTATATATTGTTATGAAGAGTTTCTAAAAGAAGTGAACATAGAGGAAAAACTGACTTTTAAGTTTAGAGAAATTAGATGGAGAGATGCTAGTGTTAACATGCAGATTGACAGGCAGCCCAGGACCCTCAAACTTGCACTTTAAAGGGGTCTGTCTGTCTACCTGTGAGCACAAAGACAAAGCAACTCTTAGTGTGAAAGAATTTTAAATAGCCTTAGTGTGCATAGAGAAGAAAGAGAAGAAAGAATAACAGTTTCCTAATAAAATACCCAAAGTACCTTCCCCTCAAGGGTAAATGCCCAGCCAAACAGGGTTGGCCCAAAGCAGGGCCACTGAGGCCTGAAAGTTTGCCACAAGCCTAAGACACATGCTGGTGGGAAACTATAAAAAGGGGGTGACTTGATAGGGGCCAGGCAATTTGGGATGAAAAGAGCAAAATCAAAGTACAGATGAAGATAATGGCTGCCACCGCCAGTCTCCCTATGGTCTTTGCCAGTGTTTCTACGTGTCTTTCCTCTACATGTCTTCTTCAAGTCCCCCAAGTCCCTGGTGGGAGTCTAAAGCCAAGAAGGAAGTGTACCCTTCTTGTCTTCTCCTTGAGCCCTCCTGCCTTCCATCTTACATAGTTTCACCTGGCCACTCAGTTCTGCCCATATTTAAGCGGGGTGGTGGAACATGGGACCTCCTCCTTTTATGGAGGTGATTCTGTTATACTAGTTAAATGGCTGGATAACGTCATTCCTCAAGCCATGCAGGCCTTCAGTTGTACTGCAGCAGCACAGAGATGATATTCAAGGGGTACCTGATTGTAAAATCAAACCTGAGGGGACAGCTCCCTCCTTGATGATGGGAAATATCACACCTTCAGTCTCAATTTATGAGGATGGACAGGGCAACTTTAGGAAGCACTGAGACTTTAGAGAAAAGAATCATGAAAGATTTAACCCACCATGTCTTAAAAAAAAAAATTTATCAGGGTGAATCTGGAGGTCTAATTGGTTTTATTCAATGATGCATGAATTAGGCAGCACGGCATCTAGCTAGTAGGAAAGTGCTCAAGGAGCTGTAGCAAAGGTGTTCCTGGCCAGAGAGAGGATGGGATAAGGCTACCAGCAAAAGAAAAGAAAGATTGTTTTATGTGAGGCCTCTTCTCTTAGGAGAAGACAAGGATGCCTCACCATGCAGATGACGTCACTTGTGCTGTAATTCCAGATGGAGAGGTTTAAAACCGTGCTTTAGGGAAAGGCTGAAACTGCAACTAGGTTAGGTATTAACTCTTGGTGGGGGCTTAGCATAAATCACTCCATTTTTGGCTTATTCTTTTTTAAACAATTATCTGGGCCGACAGATAATATGGCTGCAAGGTGAAGTTACCTCAGCACTAAAAACTCATTTCAATTACTCAAAATAGCTTGAATTCTTTGTACTAAGTATGTATTATTCTTACCAAAGGAAAAAAAAAAAAACAAATCAAAAAATACCCAAACCTTCTCCATCCCCATGAAAACAACCTTCAGTGCCTCCTCCTAAAACAAAGGTCATGGTTTCCCTTCCCTCTTCCTGATTAGTGAGAGCTGGGAAAAGGTAAGGCACCAATTTGATTTACCATGGCACTCTTTCGTCCTCCCCTCTGAGGCTGCTTTACTGGAAGAAAAGTTGTCTAAACAATGGGAACAATCACAAGAACTAGACAGCCACCAAATGGTGCCGACTCCCTCTTCAGAACTCCTCCCTATTCACCATGAGCCAGGCCACCCCCACCTCTGCTTACTGTCAGTGATTTTTACCACATGACAACTTCCCACTCTCCCCTTCCCCACAAGCAACCCAGGAGGCCCGAGGCTTTGCAGAGGCAACTTTGCTGACTTTTTCTCCTCTTCTTAGATGAGCCCTGCTTCCTGGTCAACTGGACAGGATCAGTCTGGAGGAAAGCTGCTGAAGGAAACCCCATGCCCCATTTCTTCACCTTTAAATTTAGACTCCTGAACACTTCCCACTTTATTGCCTTTCCTGAAGCTTTACTGAAGGCATCGCTGCTTTTGTCTGTTTCCTTCAGGTTTTGGCAGTCATGGTTAGTGTACATAACCCAAGGCACGCTGACTTTTAAAATCTATTAGGGTGGCAGGTCTCTCGACTTTCAGTCTTACACAATGCTGGTGAAGGCCTGCAGCTGACGGCTACCTCACAGGCCCTGTGACTCAGCGCATGTGTCCTGGGGCCACTCACCATTCCTGCCGTCCATGGGCACTTGGCTCAGCACAGTGAGGCCCACGAGGACATAGTAGGCAAGTCCAAAACAGTACTGCACGACATGAATCACCGCGTTGGAGAAGACACTGACGTAGAAGCACTCGAAGAGTCTTTGCAAGCTGTGCAGCCACAGAAATACTAATACTAAGAACGCAGACAGCGCCAGCTCACCCCCTACAATCATAATGCAAAACATTCAACATTTCTCTTCCAAAGTTATGTTTTTCCTATGTTACTATGTTAAACAGAGTGTTAAACAAGATGAGAGGTAGGAAAGGGCCCCAGAAATCACCTGGTCTACCATTTTCCTTCTTTTTCAGCAATGAGGAAATGGGCCTATGAAGCCAAGGAAATTGGCTCAAGGTTACTGCAAGCTAATGATAGAGCTGGGGCAAACCCGGGTCTCCTAACTGCCTCCTCATCTGAAAGCCATTCTGGCCTTGTGGATATCACTGTGAAAGGATCACAGGCCAGGGTCAATGGCTCTCCTGGCTCTCATAGCCAGATGAAAAGGGTCAGGAAGAGTTCCAGATGACCTTGAGCACCCCACCTAGTGAGACCCTTTAGGGCCATGGGAGACAAGAGACATAGGTACCCACAGAGGCAGAAGAGGGACAGACAGGGAGAGCTATGCATTTCTTTCTCTATATAAAAATTACAAAACTCACAATCAACCTTCCAAATCCTAGAACCAACAATAAACAGATGAAGAGATGAAGTTTCAATGTGTGAAGTGTCCTCCCTCCCAAACAGAATTTGCATAGCTCATCCCTTCTGACTGTCATCTTTTGCAACAAGTTCCTCTGGTTAGACAGAAAAGGATTGTTCCTTGGAAGCCAATGGTTTGGCTGCTGGAACAAAGGACAGAGAAAGAACCAGAATAATTTGTTTCTAATTCTACTCCTTACCAGCTGCCTAACATTAATTGAGGGCACTTTATGGTTTTTACTTTTAATTCCTTAATGTAAAAACTTGTCTATCCGGGACAGAGTGAGGCAGATTTAAGGGCTGTTTTGTAATGTTCTGGTTAACAACTATTTATAGTCAATATTACTATATACCCAAAGACTTTCAGCGTAGCAAACACTTTTAATGGGTGACCAAAAAAGTGATTTTCTGTCAAATTCCTGGAGTTCTGAGATATGAGTTTGGATGGAAATATATAAATGATAAATGTTTCAAGGCAGGTCTAAGGGATCCTGAAAACTTTTCCGTTTAAGTGCAGAAAGGCCTGTATTAGTTATCAGGGGAGAACAGCCAGTCCTGTACCTGGTCCTGTACAGAGCATGGCTAGGAACCATGCCCTCACCCTCCACTTCCCAGGCCCCACTGGGGAGGAGCCTGAGTTCAGAGAACCGCCCCCTGCAGGCAGGAAGGACAGGAACAGAAAGCGATGACTGTTATTAGCCAGGGGAGTCTTTACCTCTGAACTGCACTGCCCCAAGAATTCTGAGCAAACCATGAAGCCAGTTTGGAAAAGGCGCTCCCAGAAACAGAGATTGAGTAAGGCACCAAAGCAGGAAGCCATTCCATAGCACCGACAAGATGTAGAAGTGAGAAAAACACCTGCAAAGGAAAAACAAATTAGGTAATAGCTTGTAGATCCACAATGGGGTTTATTTCCAGTTATTTATCTTTTTTGCAGCTTTTTATTTTTTATTGCTTTTTTATTTTTTATACAAAATTCTGTAAGAAAATTTTGCGTAAAAAAATTTTGTATAGATCCACTTTAAACAATTAGGCAGGAAGACTATTTTTTGTTTCCCTATCCTCTTTTCCCTTGTCCTGAAGTATAGTATTGCTTTTTATTAAGATTTTTTTTTCAGTTTTCTTTTTTGGTTTTCTTTTTCTTTTTAGTTTTACTTTTTAATAGAACCTAAATTCTTCAGGTGTTCAGGTTAAAAAAAAATATTCCTTTCAAATGATGGACTCGGTTAACTCATAGGAACAAGAGGCCTCCCGGGGTCAACAAGAACATGACTGACCTCGTTCAGCTTAGATTGAGGGTCAATTAGCAATTTCTCTTATCTCTGGGTAACAGAATTGGGCTCAAGTTCCAAAATAGGGGGCCCTGGACCCTGGCAGAGAGAACCTAGGTTGTGCTAACACAAGCCAGGTCTGTACAAGATTTCTAAATCTCAAGCGATATTGCTGCAATCACCACGCCACTGTTACACAAGATGTGCAAATCACAGGCACTTGGGGCCATAAGAAACCTTACAGCTCTTCTGATTGAACGTTTTTCTAGATTGTGTTTCCCTACATTACTCTCAAAATACGATGACATTTTAATTCGTATTTTAATTCGAATAATTCGAATTAAATTATTAATTTAATATTAATTCGTACAATTAGGTATTCACTCCTCATGGTTACAGTTCTCCTACAAGGACAAAGCCTATTTTGCAGTCAACAGCGAAAAACTAAACAAACCTCCCACACAGCCAAGGCAAGTTGAAATGAACAATGCTAATTTAATGTGAAAGACATTGATTTGCTGAAACAAGATCACCCAGTATGACACAAGAGCCTACCACAGATTCATTCTGAGAGCTGTTTACCTATACTTTGCCTACTATTTTTCTCTATGTCCAATGAATTCGAAATTTTTCTGACTCTGTAGGTGCTTGGCAGTCACATGGCCTTCCTTGGTCTTTAATACAACATGCATATATTAAACCCCCTTTCTCATTTGTTTGTGCCAAAGACCCTTGGAATCAAAAAGATTAAACACAAACTCAAGGGCTCCTCTTACAGATGATCCAGAATATCCTTGTAGGCTGTGAGAAATCACAGCCTTCCAGACCTGGCCCACAAACCCAGTCTGACAGATCTAATTGGTTCATTCCACAGCAACTCACTTAGTTCTCCCAATTACTGTTAATGCTCTACTACTGGATATGCTCTCTTTCAAAGGTCCTGCTAATCTTGGTTCTAACCTTCCGTAGGCTCAAAAGCTCACGTCCTCAGATTGTGCATAGGTGTCAATTCCATCCCAAGTCACTCACTGGCCTTTACTGTCCAAGGCCTTCTTCAGGTACACTTCCTAGAACTGAGCCCAGGTCTAGTCTGGCTCCTGGAGCTGAGCAGAAATTCAGCAGCACCTGACTCTGCAGACTCCCAAGGAGGAACTGCTTTCTGAAGGGCAACTTCTGGGTCAGCCACTTTACCTACTTCATTTTCGCAAATATTTACTGTGCAATTACAAGGTGCCAGATAATGTTCTAGGAGCCAGGGATTCAGCAGGGAACAAAGACACCAGGTCCCTGCCTTGATGAAGCTCACCTGTCAGCAGACAGCCAATAAATGAACATGTAGACATTCAGCATGACGTTGGGTGAGAGACAGAGAGGACAGAGAGGAAGCCATTCCACACAGCTGCTCAAAGATGGCCTCTCTGGAAGTGATGTTTGCTGAGAATGAGTAACCCTGTCACAGACTAAGGCATGACACTTGAGAATTTCTGGGAGAACAATTTTCTAGGCAGAGGAAAGGACAACCAAATAAAAATCCTGAGGAACAATAAAGGACATTTGTGTGGAAGGGGCCAGGCAGTGAGGTGGAGGGTAGATGCTACAGGGCCTTGCAAGGACACTGACTTTTCATTAAGTGTGATGGAGAATCATTTGAGCAGAGTGACTTGACTTTGAAATAATAATTTCAAAAATTCTGGGGCTGGACAGTGGTGATGGTGTCACAATAATGTGACTGCTGGATAAAATCACAAAGGGTGAAGATGGTAAATGCTATGTCATATGTCTTTTAGCACTGCAACAAAAAAAGCATTACTTATTTGTTTCTTATGTTTAAAAAAAATCCCTCTGGTAACTAGGTAGGGAATAATTTAGTTGTGGGGAGACTAGACAAGATTATTTCATCGTTATAATAATCCTGTAAAGATAATGTGGTGATCTTGGTGTGGCACATAAGAAAATTAAGGCTCAGAGAGGTTAAGTTACTCATTCAAGGAACAGGAAGGGGCATGGTTTGGCTCTACACTCAGCCCTGATGGCTGCAGTTCAAATCACATGAGTGCGCTCTATTCACGCAACCCTGACTTGCCCGTACCTGCTTTTCTGGCCCTATGAAGCATGTTCCAATTTATATCAAGCCCCAAGTCAACCAAACCAAATCTTATCTGTTTGGTGTTAGCTGCTAAGTCACCCTGCGGTGTCCTGCTTGGGCTGGTTGCTTCAGAGGCAGACTGCTTGTCTATTTCCTACATTTTGTACATCATCTTGTTTTGCTTGCCTGATTTTCCTCTATAGGAGATGAGTTCTACTCTGTATACAAGGAAATATACATATATACACACACACAATCATGTATGAGACATATATACATATACATGTTTCATATACATATGTGTGTATATCTCCTTATATATATGTAGTTTTAAAAAAGACCCAGCTCTAGATTCCAAAAGCTCTGAAAACTCCACATCCCTCTCCTAGTCACCCTTTCCCCTCTCCTGACACTTTGCCACAGATTTCCAAGCCCTTGGGAGAAGGGATAAGGTGATCCTATGGTAACATTGGGCTCTGCACCCAGCAAACATGCTTTTAACTTAAAACATTTTAGAGCTGCTTATAAATCTCCAGGGAGGCTCTGGGGATTCAGCAGTGAAACAATTCCTGCCTCCATGGAGCTTACACTCACATATAAAATTAAACTTGATAGCATGTCAGCGGGCAATAGCTTACTGAAAACGAAAGCTGGGAAGAGGAGAAATACTAGGTATGGCAGAATTCTACTTTTGAATAGGGTGAACTGGGCATGCCTCACTGAGAAGGGGTAACTGGTTAGAATTATAGGAAGTGAGGACATAAACCATGTAGCTATCTGAGGGAAGAGCTTTCCAGGTAGAGGGAGCAGGCAATGCAAAGGTCCTGAGTGGGAGAAAGGTCTGGCAGAGAGGCCTGGAACACTTGGAGCCACAGTGGGGACCAAACTGTAGGAGACCAAGTACAGGGGGGACAAGACTACAAAGGGTCTTGGGATCTTCCTGTGAGGGAGGCTGAACTTACCCGCTGGTTTTGAGTCAGGAGGCATGAACTGACTGAATATGTATTTGCTGATTGCCAGGATGGAGCCACGGCCTGCTAGAGGCGTAGTGAGGTAATGAAGGAAGGGAACTGATGCACATCGAGGCCTGATGGGTGCCTGGCCCTGTGCTAAGTGGTTTAATGTCATCACTACCTACGTGACCAAGCAGTACTATCCTGTTCACATTCTAATACTACCACCTCCTGCCTGGACCACCTCTATACCCCTGATCCATTTCTCTCTATGCAACGGCCAGTCATCCTTTCAAAACAAGTTGTAATGCCATGCCCCCTTCCTTACCCTAAAGCTCTCCATCACTTCTATGCATTCTGGATAAAATCTAATCATGACCTATAGGGCTCTGGTGAGCCAGCCCTAATTTCCCCTGTGAACTCATTTCCCTGCGCAGCCCTCCCTGACCAGACTTTCCAGTGCCACCAGGGCTACCTTCACTTGCTCATCATCAAGGAACCGTGTGGGTTTCCCTCTGAAGCCCTTATCACCATCTGAAAAGATCTCATCAGTTTTATAATATTTGTTTACATATTTGCTATCTTCCTAGAACATGAGCACCAAGGAGCACAGAGTAGCTTCTGGCCCATAGGAGGTACTCTGTAAATACTGGCTAAATGAATGAAAGGGAAGAGGTTCTTAACTTTTTTCTTCCAACTCCTATGGGGGTCTGACAAAAGCTACAGATACCCTCCTAAAATGTCTACCACAAGCATAAAATACATAGTGGTTACAAAGGAAAACAATCAAACAATAGGTTAACACAACCACTAAAAACAATGTGTGGTATAATAATACATGTGTCTTAATTAATGTGTCAAATAACAAGACCTAAGCAGAGCAGTCACTGCCCTATTCTTCTAGTGATGAGAAGAACGTTTTGAGATCTCTTCAGTATTTTAAATGCAATATAAAAAAAGTTGTCACAAAATTGTAGGTATTACTAATTTTCCTGTGGATTGTTGATTACAGTTGCCATTAAAGAAACGCTGAATTTCAACTAGAGGTTAGTGGGGGAAAAAAAAGATATGTTTTTTTAAAAAAAGTTCTATAGAATAACACCCACCTCTCTCCCATGCCCTGGACCTTCCTTGAGATGCTGTGGAAGGTCTGGACAGCTCTCTTTGCCTCTAGAGCTCAATTTCATCGCTATGTTTTTACAAAATATTGAACTTTTAGAAACAGGAGAAGTAGTTCCATATACACTATGCAAGTCAAGAGCATTATGACCTCAAAGTGCCCTATTTATTTAGACTTTCTGGGAAATCAAAACCCTAGGGAACAAATGGAAAATGAGAAAATTATTATCTTTAAAAAACCCAAACAACAAAACCCTACCAGACAGGATAATGGAATCAAACATTCCATAAACTTATTTAGGCTTCATTCTTGCATCCATTGGAAAAAATAATACCAAACAAAATTACCTACTCATCGTCTTAGATGCAGAAACATGATTGACAGGTGCAGCTTATTTCTAAATATAAAAACTAATAGGCTTATTTTGAATTTTGCACAATTAAAAGATACAGTAGCTAGATATTTTTGTCTCTCACTACTGGCCTGGATTAGCTGTACCTTCTTCAATGCTAAAAGAAATGTTTGTTTAAATTCAGAACAAAAGAACACTTGAATACTGGTTCTCTTCTAGAATTCTGGAAAAAAAAATGGTTTCAATTATTGCATCATGTAGTAGAAATTACAAGAAGCCCAAAGAATAGCAATTGTAATGATGAATAAGGGAAAGGGACCAAGTCTGTTTCTTGGCTGTCACACAATGACAGACTTGAGAACTAACACCTGGGGTGTGGAAACTGGAGAAGTGAGTGCAGGAAATTGCTTGAAATGTGTCCTTTAATCCAGGGATGCTAGCACCTTTTTTAAAATTTAGAAAACAGAATTCACACTCTAAGAAATATCCTTCACTTTAGAACATTAAAAAAAGTGACCCTCTAGGAATGCCAGTGCTCTAAAGTAGAAATGAAAGTTGTGCAATCAAACTTGATTAAAAATAGAAAGGGTAGTTTTCACTTAAAAAGAAATAGGTTTAGGAGAGTTCCTTTTTCACCACATCCTCGCCAACATACGTTGTGGTATATATACACAATGGAATATTATTCAGCAATCAAAAAAGATAAACTCATGCCATTTGCTGCACTGTGGATGGAGCTAGAAGGAATTATGCTCAGTGAAATAAGCCAGAAGGAAAAAGAAAAATATCGGATGGTTTCACTTATAGCAGGAATACAGGGGAACCAAATAAGACATTAGTGTAAAAAAAATAATAATAGTACAAAACACAACAAAGCAAAAACAGACAACTATAAACCAGAGACATACTGCAGGGGAAGAGGAGGGAGAGGGAGGGAGGAGCAGAGGGGACTATGGTGATGGTGCACGGGTGCCTTGGGAAAGGAAATTCTATGGGGACTCGACCTGAGGGGGTGGGGGGAAAAGCAAATATTGTTTAAAAATAATAATTAAAAAAATAGGTTTAATGAATTTGTTCTGAATACTTCCACTTCTCCCTAACTGAATTCCTCATTTCCTTTTCTTTTCCTCCCAATGACCTTCTCCCTTCTCAATATTAACACCTGCTAAATCTTTCTCCAACAGTGGAAAGTAGGGGTGAGGGGCCTACCCAGGTTTCAGAAACCAAGTAATACTTAGCCTCTGTCTAGTCTGCGGGTCTGGGAAACTGGTGCTTGAGTACATTACAAACCGCAACACGTTGCTCAGATTCCTCCCTAAATATCAACCTCAGAGGCATCTTCAAGGTAGAACAGGCACTGCTATATTCCTAGGGTCTACGATGTGTTTGGTTGACTCTTCCCGGTTATGTTCTGAATGCAAAGTAAAAAACCAAACCTAACAAAAGGAAAACATCTTACACTTCTTGAAAGAATTCCTTTTAAGCCCTAATGATTTACTCCTTTGAACCTGATTACAGAATCTGTTGAAATTCCAATGGAGCTTGAGGACCACACTTGCCTAAAATGTGCCATCTTGGGCTACCTTCTCTAGGGGCACCTGCTAAGGTGCGTGTTAGGAGGGTCACAGCAGAGGAAGGCGGTGGCGCCCTAGTTATGACCTGCATCTGGCCCTTTGTCCTGATTTTGAGGGTCAGGAGAAAAACAGGGGAACTAAGAGGTGCTTACAGCGCGCCTGCCTTCACTTCTAGCTTGAACTTGGTGACCTCAAGTCAGATTAAGACCTCCAAGAGTGCAAGGGAAGGGGGAAGGGGAGAATTTGGGGACACAGGCGACTTTCACATGCCTCCTGGGGACAAGGCCTAAATTCAGAAGCGCTGCCATTCCTCTTGGGGAAAAGACTCCACGGGGCCCCAAGTTCAAGCTCGTGCGCCCTTGCTAATGCAAGCAGCTCAGCTTCCTCGGTGTCCACAGACCCTCGGGGCATTCCACCCACAGGGCCCCGAGGCAGACGTGGGCGGTGCCCGCGGACCGGGCCCACCGGCGCTGCGCAGCGAACCCGCCTGGGCCTCCCGGGCCCGGTTCGCCGCGGCCCGCGCCCGCCTCGGCTGCCCCCTGCCGGTGGCCTGAGCAGGGCGCCCCGGGATCTCCGCGTCTGGGCAACGCGGGCTCGCGCCCCGGGCGCGGTTACCTCTTGGGAACATCAAAGACCCGGCAGATGGCCGGGCGCGGCGGCCCCCACACTTGGTTTTCCCATAGCGGATCAGGTCCTGGAAGAGCGCGCAGCTGGGGAGCAGGCCGGGCGGCACGAGCTGCAGCAGCAGGGTCAGCAGGAAGGCGGCGGCCAGCGCGAGCCACAGGGCGCGCAGCGGGCTCAGCGTGGAGAGCGCAGCCCCTGCCCAGGGAGCCATGGCCGCGGGCGCGCCCCGCTCCCGCGCGCCCAGCGCGCACACCAGCCCCGGCCAGGAGCCGCCACTCGCGCGCCGCGCGCTGGGCTCGGCCGGGCGGGACGTCGGTGACGCGGCGCGGGGCGGGGATACGCGGGGCCCGCCCGGGACGCGCCCCTGGGTGGAGGCGCCGCCTGGGCGCGCGGTGCGCGGGGCTGAGTCATGCCAAGCCTGCCTGGTGGTTCCCTGCTCGGAATCCGCGTCGGGGTGGCCTAAGTGGCTCCCCGGAGTAGGGCTGCGTGCTGTGATTCAGGGGAGGAAAACTCACCAGGCCACGTTGCTGCAGGTCTGCAGTACAGTGTTACTTTCAGTGGAAACATGGAAACCCCGAATGTTTCCCTGCAGGGTATCTAGGTAAATGATGGTACCTTAACATGTTGGGATATGGTGCAGCTGTTAGGGGGTAGGATGTCCCGAGCTAATCCCATACAGGCTTGTGGACTCCACCCCCCACTCCAGACTAAAGCCATCAGGACATTGGGAAAGACAAATCCCATCACCACCAAAGGGAGGGTGGCTGGGACCTGAGGGTGGAGTTGGGCAGCCAGGTTGGATATAAAAACCATGCACGTGGGGGCTCGCTGTCGCTCGCCTCCTGACTTCACGGCTCCTGGCTCCGGCCAGCTCTCAGAGTGCCATTTTGGGATTCCTGATCGGTGGATCGGGTAGGACTCATTTAAAACTTTGTCTCCCACTTTTCTCCCTGAGCTGTACATTTCCTCATTTCCCCTTCCCTTGTAAATAAACCTTTTATTAACCTTTCACGTGTGCCTGCAGTAGAGCATTGATAAGGGGGAAAAAAGACGTTTATAAATACACAGGTATTGGTATAGGGCAGCCCCGATAAAAACGGGGTGCCTGACTGTGGGTCCCCACCCGCGTGCTTAAAAGGACTTATCAATGCTCTACTGCAGGCACACGCGAAAGGTTAATAAAAGGTTTATTTACAAGGGAAGGGGAAATGAGGAAATGTACAGCTCAGGGAGAAAAGTGGGAGACAAAGTTTTAAATGAGTCCTACCCAATCCTCCAATCAGGAATCCTAAATGGCACTCTGAGAACTGGCTGCAAGCCAGGAGCCATGAAGCCAGGAGGCAAAGGACAGCGAGCCCAAGGCCCACGTGTTTGGTTTTTATACCCAACCTGGCTGCTTAACTCCACCCTCAGGTCCCAGCCACCTTCCCTTTGGTGGTGATGGGATTTGTCTTTCCCAATGTCCTGATGGCTTTAGTCTGGAGTGGGGGTGGGGTCCACAAAGCCTGTATGGGATTAGCTCAGGACATCATCATTTCCCCTTAACAGTATGAATACAGTTATAGCAATGTGTGGTTGAACTTGGTGACCTCAAGTCAGATTAAGACCTCCAAGAGTGCAAGGGAGGGGGGAAGGGGAGAATTTGGGGACACAGGCGACTGTATTGACCGCCTTTCCTAGGGCATTTCTTACACAAAGATGAATAGTTGTATTAGGGTGTTGAGACTGTATAATTTTAATATGCAAAGCATCAAGGGCACTGCAAAAAACAAAAATAAAAGGGAAATTGTATTGAAAACAGCAGTCCTCTTCCTGCTAGTGTTTCACTCCATCTAGCAAAAGCTTTTAACTCCATCAACTGTTTCTTCGGAAATTTATCTCCATGGAGTGACTGTGCCGTTTATTGACTCATTAATTTTAAGCAATATTGATTTTTTCAGTTATGCCAAATGAAAAATTCGCTGTTAGGTATTTTTTTTTAAGAAGTCATTAAAATGTGACTCTCAAAAAATGTTTATATATGCCTAATATATGTTTATATATGCCTAATATATGACAGTCTCTTGGACACTGAGGACAGAAGTTTACAGGACTTTAAGGACAGAGATTTACAGGACAATGGGGCTGCCTTTTCGGAGCTTATATTCTTGGGATTGGGTGGCAGAGGGAAGAGGCAACCCATACTGCAATGCGGTATCTTACCTGTGTGGAATAAATATTAGGAAACTGAGTGGGTAGACTATGCTGCTTCAATAATCCTTTGGGTTGTTAAATGTACCAGCTTTTTAGAGTTTTGCTTCTTTTTTAGAAAAGATTTATTTATTTATGCATACAAGAGCTGGGGTGTAGGCCAGAGGGGTGTGTGTGTTGGGGGTGGGAGTGGTGAGAGGATTCACCAGATACAGAGTGGGGAGCAGAACAGGCAGATCTACTGAAATACACTGCTGAGCGGAGCACCACGCGACATAGGAGAAGTCTGCTGCGCCATGTGGGTCAGCTTCTTGGCCAGGGATGTGCTGCAGTGGCAGCAGAGAGCTTCATTGTGCTGAGACTTAACCCCTTGCATCAACAGGGAGGCCAGAATTTTTGCTTCTTTATTCAAGGACACTCAAGGCTTTACTGATGCCCTGAGAACCATGTAATAAAGGATGGGCAAGTTGGCATTGCAGGTAGGACAATGAGGCCTTTTGTGTGACTCAGGATCCCTTCTGCAGGGCTAACCCTTTGTTGTTCCCTCATTTTTCGTAGGTCAACCCCACAGAAATGCAGCTGGCCCTTTTAGCTCCTTTCTAGACAAGCTGCTTGTGAGTGCGTGGCAGGACCACATTTCCTAGGTAGGTTCTCTTAGTGATTTAACACCCGGAAAGATTGCAAAACAAGATTGGGGGTGTGTGTGTATTTTGGGAACAGGAAGATTGAGAATGAAGGGGACAATTATCCGTTAATTTTTCTGTTTGGTTTTAATCAGACTGCATAGCTTATATTCAGACAAGCCCCTGTAGAGGGCAGTGGCTGAACAGGAAGCCAGCAGTCAAACCCCACTGAGAACATTTGAAATGTTTGAATCCTTACCAGAATGAGTTACTTCAAAAGTGGAAAAACAGGCTAAAGTCTGTTGGAAAGATCATTGCCAGTAATTTGCAGTTGGGTTTTGTCTTTCTCCATTTAATTACCTGGACTATATGATGGACAAATCTCTGGCCTTGTCTGCAGTAGATGACAATGCCATTCTTCCAGTTGTTCAGGCCAAAATCTTGAACTCAACCTTGATTCCTCTCATAGTTTAAATACGATTTGCCAGCAAATCCTGTTATCTCTACCTTTAAAATATAAATCCAAAATTCAGTCACCTTTGGAGTCAGTGCTTTCCTAAAAGTCTTAGCCAGAAAAATAAGAAGTCTAAGGACTACCGAGCCAGAAACAAACTGTCATTTGAAGATAACATAAACTCCAGTAGAGGCTTACAGATCTACAGATAAGCTATTAGAAATAATGGGAGAGTTATATAAGGTTTCTGGATAGAAACATCAATTTATAAATATTGATAACTTCTATTTCCCAGCAATAAATAGAAAGCAAATGTCTTAAAGATACCACTTTTTGGAATAAAATATTGTGGGATCCCCAGCCCTCCTTGTTCTCGGGGCTGGTGTCTTGGTACCCAGAGTCCTGGCTGTCAGCAAGGTACCAGATTTACAGTCAGGTTGGAGGCCCCTCACAGACAAGGACAAAAATCTTGGTATGAGGAGCATGCTGAGAAGCTGGCATTTGCTGAAAACAGCAGGCAGATATTATAGCCAGATTGGCAAGGTCAGCTAAAATACCTTGCTTGAAAAGATTATCGGAAAGTTAGGTAAGCATAGAGAATAAAGATAATATGCTTTGACTGTCAGGAACAATGGGGCCCCCTAGGCAAGAGACCCTGGCCACTCCACCCTAGTTTACATCCCCCAATAATACATCCCCCATTCATGTACACTCCCTAGTATTTGCCCCACCTTTGTACTTGATTCTAATAAATACAAGATTGCCTTTGGATCGGGGCTGCCCATTACTGCCGGTGTTAGCCCCTCTAGCCTCCAGCACACTTGGACTTCAAGTAATCTTCCCCTTGTCCCGCTCTGTGAGGGGGCAAAATATTATGAGTCTGTTGCCTGCTGCAGTCTCTCTGCCTGTTCTGTTCCCCACTCTGTCTCTGGTGAGTCCTTTTGTAACAGGGTGGTCCCCAGGAAAGGGGGAGGTTCCCTGCCCCACCCAAGGGAGGGTGGAGCTGAGCAGGAAGAGGAGAAGCTGCAGAAGAGACTGAGGAAGGAGCAGGATGGAGCCAGGAGACCTGGAGGAGGCGCATGGAGCCTAGAGACACGTGAAGAAACTGCGCTTGTCTTTTGGTCGTGGACTGGGTGACACAGATGTGGGTGAGACCCGTGGAGAGGTGACCATGGCAGCTTTTATCTTGATGTTGATTTTGCTCTTTTCCTTCCGGGCTTGTCTGGTTGTTTCTGACTCTTTTCTGTGGGTCCCCACTGGAAGATGCTTTAGACTTGTGGCAGGCTTTGGGGCCTTGCTCTGGGCCGATCCCATATGGATGGACTTTTACCCACGAGGGGACGGGTAACTTTGGGTGCTTCACTTAGAAACTAGACTCTTTGCCTTACCTGTATTGTTTCCTAGTTTTATTAAAGTTCCTTCCCATTAAAGTCTCCTATGTTTTGTGTTGATGCGGCGGATGGCAGAACCCATTTAGAATAGGCAGGTTTGCGGGGTTTGGGCTGCCCCTCTCTCTGTCCTATAACACTTTCACCCCCCACAGCTCTGGCCTGCATCCCAGTTCTTGTATGCATAAATAAATAAATCTTTTAAAAAATATTATGAGTCTAGGGGTAAATCTAGTAAAAGATGTGCAAGTCTACTTTGAAGAAGACAAACTGCTTCTGATATTAAAGAAGATGTGTTTTAAAGGAGAAATTTGCTCAGCTCACAGTTTAGAAGATTCATTTTGGTTAAGGTGACAGTTCTGCCCAAACTGATTTATGGGATAAATGTAATTTCCAATTTCTAGTTCCAATCAAACCCCAAATTGTGGAACTTAACACTGTTTCTAAAGTGTAAATGGATGTAGGAAAGTCTAAAGATGGCCACAACACTCTTGAAGACAAAGAAAAAGGTTGGAAGTCTTGCTCTGTGAACTATCAAGTCTAATAGAGAACTCTT